CGAGCCGGCCAGTGGAGTGACCTTCAGAGGCAGGTCGAAGGGGAGGAGGTCGCAGCCCCTGGCAGTCCCCGACCCGCTCAGCCCGGGAACGCTGGAGGCCTGGGACCGAGGGAGACGAGATCTAACAGGAGAAAAGGCCCGTCTCCTCCTCTCCCTTCCTCCCGCGCCTTCCCCACGGGGTGCGCTTTACGCACTACAAACAAACCCCTGGGTCTGGGGGGCTGTGGGAGGAGACCCAGCACCCCCGCATTGGTCAAGGGGGACTGTTTTACAAATATATATATAGTTTTTATTTCAGAGAGGAAGGAAGAGAGAGAGGGAGAGAGAGAGAGAGAGAGACATCAATGAGGAGAGAGAATCGTGGATCGGCTTCCTCCTGCATGCCCCACACTCAGGATCGAGCCCACAACCCGGGCATGTGTCCCGACCGGGAATCGAACCCTGACCTCCTGGTTCATCGGTCAACGTGAAACCACTGAGCCGCCCCGGCCGGGCCAGGAGGGCTGTTTCTTAAAGGAGATGGTGGTCATGTCTCACTTGCACAACAGAACACAACATCTGCCCGGGGGGGAGGACTCAGGGTCAGATACTCGGGGCTGTTTTCCTCCCGTAAGCTCTGGCTTTCCTCGTCTTCATCCCAAAGCGCCCAAACCAGGTCAACCCGCCCAGCCCCGTCTCCTCGCCAGGGGACGCCTCCCGGGAGGAGCGGGGACGTGGAGGGAGCAGGACCGTCCAGCTCGAGAAGGTCACGCCCAGCCCAGTGCTGCCCGCGGCCTGGGGCTCACCCTGTGCCTCTGCCCGGCCTGGCCTCCCCTCCCCTCCCCTCCCCTCCCCTCCACGCAGGCAGACGGCCTGGCTTTCCTGAGGCTTCTACGCAGGATCCCGCGGGAGAAATTGCTGCTCCCAAAAAAGCCCGGGGCTGGACGAAGGCCTCACTTGTCCTCCTCACTCCGCAATTTCCACATCAAAGGCGAGGCTTGCTCCCCACGTCAGAGCTTTATTTAAAGAAACCAGCATCTCTGTGTCTGTTCTGTCGTGGAATTCGGAAAGACGCTGGGCTGGGCTGTGCTGTCCACGCGGGCGTCTTTCCTGGTGGCCCCGGCTTTTTGTTGGGGATGTTGTTAATCCTCACCCCAGGGTATTTTTTTTTTCATTGGTTTTTAGAGAGAGTGGAAGGGAGGGAAAGAGAGAGAGACACTGAGGTGAGAGAGACACATGGATGGGTTGCCTTCCCCACACGGCCCGTTCTGGGTCTGGGTTCGAGCCTGCGACTGAGTATACGTGTCCTTGACCGGAATCGAACCCAGGACCCTTCAGTCCGTGGGCCGCCGCTCTATCCACTGAGCCACACCGGCCAGGGCTCTGTGCTTGGGATTTGAACTTGAGTCCTTTGTGGCCTGGTCACCACCCCTGGATCTCATCACAGGACTTGTGCTTCTCTGTTACCCGTATCGGGAGCCCATAAACAGGAAACTGAGGCCCGGCCGGCGTGGCTCAGGGGTTGAGCGTCGACCTATGAACCTGGAGGTCAGGGTTCGATTCCCGGTCAGGGCATGTGCCCGGGTTGCAGGTTCCATCCCCAGTGTGGGGCGTGCGGGCGGCCGCCGATCCATGATTCTCTCTCATCGTTGATGTTTCTCTCTCTCTCTCTCCTTCTCCCTTCCTCTCTGAAATCAATACAGATATATTTTAAAAAGAGAGAGAGAGAGAGAGAGAGTTCTAGAAAATGGACAACAAGGCTTGGTTCTCGCTGCTGGGCTGGGGGCTGTGTGCGCTGTGCACCTGTCCCCGGGGTTCTAAGGGTCGTCTCTGTTCTCTCCCCCCCCGTTCCCCCGCGGCAGAGCCAGATTGGAGTTCAGGGTTTCCTCCCTTTTCCATCCAGGAGGCCAAGCGGCGGCCCCGCCAGCGAGCCCCCGCCCGCCGTTCAAAAGCCTTGCCAAGCCCCCCCAGGCCCTCCGGCCGGCCCAGGGGCGGCAAAGTCCCTCCAGCCTGGACGCCCTGGGGCCCGCCCGGAAGGGACGAAGGAGGCCGCCTTCTGGGAAGATCAACGCCGAGCGGTCCCGCGGGGGAGGGGGCCCGAGGCCGAGTTCCCCCTCGCCTGACCCCCCAGCCAGATCAAGTCCATGGAGAAGGGGGAGAAGGTGCTGCCCGCCAGCTACAGGCCGGACCCCCGCCCCCAAGGGACAGGGAAGGCCAAGGGCGGAGCGGCCGGGCCACCTGCGGGCGGAGCCGCTGGCCCTTCCCGGCGCCGGCGTCCAGCCCGAGGGACCCCCGCCCGTCCGGGCCTGCACCGGGGTGTCGGAGGAGGGAGCCCCCTCGGAGCCCGTGGGCCAGCAGCTCTCCCCCGGGGCCGGCCCCATCGATGGGGAGGTGGTGGCGGATGAGCTGTTCTCCGAACCCAGCGCCGCAAAGGTGGGTGGGCTGCATACAAGTCCTTTGGTTGATCTCTTCCCCTTACCCCCACCCCACCTGGGAATCATTTTAAAATCCTGATTTCTGGGCCTCATCCTCCGGAAATTCTGTTTCTTTGTTATGGGGTGGGGCCACAACATGAGTCACGAAGAAACAGAATTTCCGGAGGATGAGGCCCAGAAATCAGGATTTTAAAAAGATTCCCAGGTGATTCTAATGTGCAGCCAAGGTTGAGAACCACTGGTCTAGAAGCTGCTCACAGACATGCCCGGGGACAGAGGGGAGCGTGTGGATCCGGGCTGAGTGTAGCTTGCATTGAATTTGATTTTTTTTTTATTTTTTTATTGTTGATAGTATTACAGAGATCTCCCCTCCCCATCCCCTGAGGTCTTCATGGGCTGTGCCTATAAGTATATACGTTCTTTGGTTTATCTCTTCTCGTCCCCCCAACCCCACATCCAGGCATGTCGGTCGCAGTGAACCTGATTTTTAAATTTTCTGGCTCCAAGCGCCGAGGCAAAGGGCGGTCAGGGAGCCTCGCGGACGGAAGCAGGCTCCTTCATTTGGGTCATTTTAAACGAGATGCTGTTTTTAGGTTACTCGGCCCTAAAAAAAGTCCTTCTGCTTACGCGGCTGCTTTTGTCTCTCCCGCAGGTCAGCGCGAGCAGTGTCATCCTGAAGACGGGGTTTGATTTCCTGGACAACTGGTAAAACGAGTCAGACACACGCACACCAACCCCACAGAGAAACCAAAACCCCGACGATTCCCGCCGAGGTGTGGCCGGCGGGCGCGGGCGGAAAGGGCAGCCTCTCCCAGGGCCGTTTCCCGGTCTCTGTACGCGGTTATTTTTTTTGAATCTTTTGGAAACTGTAAGAATCGCCGTGTCCAGATTTCCAGAGCTCCCCCCTTTTTGCTAAGACCCGATGTATCTGCCGTTTTCCACGATTTGATAACCGAAGTTTTTGCATTTGGAATTTTTAAAGACTGTTGGGCATTCCTGCTGTGCACCGGGTCCCCCTCCTCCGGCAAAGGGCTCTCTCTCCACCAGTCACACAAGTGACAAGCGTGGCCTCCGTCTCCTTCTCCTTCGTCCCCCATCCCCCCACCCCCTTTTTTTTCTCCGTGGGGGTTTCCTTGGACGGATTACCTTGGATGGGTGGTCGCTGGTGATGCCCTCAGCAGTGTGGCAGCAGCGTGCCGGCTGCGATGGTGGACAGATCTGTTCCCCACGTGGCCCCCTCCCACCCTCACCCCCAATCCCAGCCGCCCAGGGCTCCCCTGGCCGACCCCACCCTTCGCCCCTGCGTCATGTCCAGGAAACAGACGTGACGCTTGGCCGGGGGCGTCTTTGGGCCGCCCTGGTCCCCGGGCATCCTTGCGGCGGTCAGCGTCGCACGTCTAAACGTTTTGTGTTAACGTCTCATTATTTCCTATCGAGACCCAGCGGCGGTAGGGCTACCCCTCCGCTTGCCTTTGTACTGTTTTCCTCCTGGAAGTTCTTCGCTGCTGATGTGGCCCGTGGGTGTCCCCACCCACCCCCCCTCTCCACGCCGAGGGCGGGTGGCAGGGTCACCCGAGGACAGGGCTCTTCTGATTGGTTGCAAGACCTTCCAGCCCGACCCTGGCTGGGGCTCCTGCATCCCAGTCACCACGGACCCTCCCGAGCCCCGCCCGCCGCCCGCAGAAGCTCAAGAGTCCAGTTTCTGCGGGGACCTGGAGACCTCTGTCGTCATGGCAACGGCGTCTCCCGGAGGGGACCACGCGGCCCACTGCTCCTCCAGTGAGCGTGGCTCCCAGGCTGCCCAGGGGAGCAGGGCGGCCCCTGCACCCACCGGGGTGGGGGGAGTGGACCCAACACCCCCCACCCCTCTTCCCCCACCGGAGTCGGCCCGGCCCCCCCGGAGCTGCGTGAACCCGCGGGACACGCCCCAGCGTGATGGACACGGCACCTCTCACTGTGTTCTGCTCACCGACGCCTTAATCCCCGCCCCTCCTGCCAGCCAGCACCTGGTCCAAGCCTCTGGGTTTTTTGGGAGTTTTTTTTGTTTTTTAAAAAAGAAAAACGCCTCTTTGTTTCACGGGACAGACCGGAAACGACTTCCAGATATTTTCTCTGGCTCCGGGGGGAGGCACGCGGCCACGCTCTCCTGTTGTTTTTTCCAGGGAGGTTTCTGCCAAAGCCGCAGCCTGGCCAGTGTTGGGGTTTGGTTCCCGCCAGTTGCTTCGTGTCCCTAAACCTCATCTGGCCCCTGGGGCCCTGGGTTCGACCTGCCTCCTTTTCCTTTTGCTGACTGTCTCGTTTTTTAAGAATAGATTTGTATTCATTTCAGGGAGAGGGAGGGAGAGGGAGAGAGAGAGAGAAACATCCATGAGGAGAGAGACCCATGCATCGGCTGCCTCCTGCACGCCCCACACTGGGCATCCAGCCCGCAACCCGGGCCTGTGCC